ATCGCCAAAGATAGCAGTGTCGGAAACGTGCTCGCGCACTCACTAATTTTTTTTTTTTCTGTTCTTTTTATTATTAGTATTTGTCATACTTGCAAGCGCACGTCGTGCAGGCGGTTCCCTATGTGCGGCGCACGCGCCCAACCGATCCCGTGCGGCGCACAATGTGTGCGGGGAACGACCCGCCACCCCCCTCAGAAAAAAAAAGGCCGGGTTCGAAATGGTGCGTTTGAGCCCCCCCGCCAAAATTACAAGCAAGATGAATTTTTTTTTTACATGAGTACTGCCTCACCTTGCTCCTCCTCCCCTTCCTCATCCTCCATGTCTCCTCCTCCCTTCTCCTTTTCATTTCCTCCGACTCGGCCTCCTCCTGTTCGTCCTCCTCCTCCTTGTCTCCTCCTCATCCTCGGACTTCCTCATCTTCCATGCCTCCTCGTCTCCTTCCCTTCCTCGTATCCTCCCCTTCCTCGCCGTCCATGTCTCCTCCTCCTCCCGCTGGTCCGCCTCCTGCCCTTCCTCTTTTACCTCCGTCCATGTCTTCTCCTCCTCCCATCTCGACGACTCCTAGCTGGCCTCTCTATCCTCGTCGTCGTCCTCATCCACATCCTCCTCCTCTCCATATCCCCCTCTCCTCGCCATATCCCCATCTTTCTGTCATACACCCCCCCGTTCCCCCTACCAGAAAAGAGATAAATAATAATAATAAAAATAAAAAAACCTGCACGATTCCGCACAGGCACCCCCCCGCACGGAACTCCACACGGAACTCCGCACGAATGTGCGGCTCGTGCGGTTGCAAGTATGGTATTTGTTTTTCGTATTTTATTTTTATTTCAAATTTGGTAAGGAATTTTGATGAAATGCTCAGGCAAATCTTGTTTACTTTATTTTTTTTCATAACATATCTTTTTTTCAGATGTTTTTGATTTTTTTTTTTTTTTTTTTTTTTTTTTGTCCGTATTCGGCCCGCACGACCGAACACATCCCCAAGGGGTCCCCTACGTTCGGGCGTTCGGGTTCGGGCGTTTGACTCGTCCCGAACGCCGGTTACCCTGAATGTAATAACAATAATAAAAAAAATAAAAATAAAATAAAAATAAAACTAGGTTGTTTTTCTGGGCACCCGGGCACCCAACTTGTGCCCGGATACACGCCCGGGTGCCCGACTGGGCATGACCCCCGGGCAGGGTTCCAGGCAGCCCCAGCGCAAAAAAATAAAAAAATAAAAAATAAAAAAATAAATAAAAAAAATTCCCCCCAAAAAATATGATGTGTAGAATTGCAATACAAATAACTTTTGGCTGAGGGTTACATCCAAATTCTTCACCAAATCGGAGATAAAAAAAAACAAAACAAAATCACACTGAAGGATCCCCCTTTAATCCCTCTTTATCGCCCCTTTAAAAATAATTTATACCCCCCTTTTCCCCCTTGACAGCCAACTCTCAAAAAATGAAACGAGCCCGGATTTGGGTTCCTCTGGGAAAGCGCAGACAAACATTTTTTTTTTTTTTTTTTCTTTTTTTTTTGCACGCCCAGCGTCATGCCCAGGTTACCGGCCGTGCACGCCCGGTCGGGCATGAAAAACTTCCTAGTAATAAAATATAATATTAATAATAATATGAATAATATTCAAATAATAAACTAAGCCATAAACGGACTAAAACACGAGAGTTCTCACAGACAATCAGCCCAAGAGTGTAATGTGGATCGATTATGAAGGCCAATCTTCAGACGACGACTCACTTAAGGAAGTGAGGTGCGCCCCGTAATAGCATCAAGCTTACGAGTCAACTTTAAAACCCAACCACAACGAAACCTCAGATTATTTTATATATCTTTGAAGGGTTTGCACTGGCAGAGGGTACGAGTACAAACTCCAAGTGAATACTCGAGATCAATGCCAAACGAGAGAAACCCACGATCATTGTATTCAAACATGTTGTTGTGTTGCCTTATTCAAAGGGGCAATGTCACTCCCATAATTTTTAGAGTACGGTTAACTAATCAACCAGTCTGTCACTCAAGGTTCCTAAACGGAGCTGCATTAGGTAAGTAATCCAATGATAATTTCCGCTCTGGACGTCCAATCTTCTCAAGCTACAATTGACCAGTCATGGCAGCAGATGCAGAGGCGGAATTAGTTAAAGATAAAGAAACGAAAGTAAACATAAATTCTGAGTAGTTGTAGTGCAGTCCCTATTCTACGATCCCCTCCCTCTGGAATTAATCAAAATTATAGATCACACCGATTTCCCTCTTGGTTAAAACCTCATTTGACCGCTCGTTCATTTAGAAATCCTGAAGCCTCCCTCCCTCTTTGTAGATTAAGACTCGCTCCATATTGATATCTCAACCAAAACTGTCGAAAAGGTGCGGGCGAGAGTGGGTTTATACTTGGGCGCTTTCCTTAATCAAGGTATTAAAACAAACAAACGAACGCAACACTGCACGACAAGTTGTACTTCAAACGAAAGGAATTGAGAGGAATAAAGTTGTTTGTAAGCGACGAGAAGAGAAAATAAAAGAAAAAGGCACTCGCAGAGGAAAGAGGAGAAAATTATCCAAAAAGATAACCGAGTAATATGCAATAAATAATGTAATCTTACCTTAAAATTTTCCACGTCTCTTTATGGCCAGCCTTCTATCAACCACATTTCTCTCTCCCCTCCCCTCCCCTTCCTTTTGTTGAAACAGGCTTTCACCAGTCATGTACACAGAGCCATTCATCCAAAACTGTTAAACCAACACTATCCACAATTGACTGCAGCTTGAGATTAGAACCTGACCCATATAGTAACCATTAATAGTCGTGACCAAAAGATGCCTATCAGAAGAGTGCGTCTGTAAACCTTCCCTCTAGTCTCGTAAATGCTCAAAGACTGTTATAGTACGGTTATACGCAAAACACCCATATTACGGCGAATACAAGGCGTCATGCTACTCGACAATCCTGTTTGAGCAGTTATCTGATTGTGGGTTGTTAGCAATCAGCACTTTGCAAAGAAACCGGAAATACTCGTGTACTATGCAACAGAGTGAGTGATTAACATTCTGTAGGGTTTATAAGACGCTGTATAGATGGGTCTTTCCTGAGGAATGAAGCTATTGCTTCCATTATAAATAGGAATATGGGAGCTGCTAGTGAATATCCTTGTCTTACGGATCTCGACATCTTGTAGAGATTGGATAAGTGGCCGTTTACTTGAACCGCTCCGTGTGCATCGTTGTATAGCACTTTAACCCATTTCCTGAAGTTTGGGCCCACGCCCATCTTTTCCATGCATTGCTGGAGGAAGTCCCAGTTTACTTGGTCGTAGGCTTTCTCGAAATCAAAGAAGAGGATTGCTGCATTCAACCTTTTGTCCTTAATGTATCTCACCGACTCAACTAATGTCATTACATTGTCTAATATGAACCTACCTCGGATGAAACCCGTTTGATCTATATGGAAACAATTTTTGATGATTTGTCTTATTCTATTTGCTAGGAGCTTAGCTAAGATCTTATATGCAACAGTTAGTAGTGTGATTGGTCGGTAATTTTTAATGTCTGTGGGGTCCCCTTTCTTGTATAGTAGAGTGATTATTCCTGTACTAAGATATTTTCCTAAGCCATCGGAATCCCATGCTGATCTTATGAATTTGCAAAATTCATCCCCTAAGAGCTCCCAGTACTTTCGCCAAAATTCTTTCGACAATCCGTCTTGGCCCGGGGTCTTCCCTGTTTTCATTGAGTCTAAGGCTTTTTTAATTTCTACGTTTGTTCTGGGAGCATCTAGTTCCCCTGCTAGAGCCTCTGGAATTGTTTTGGACAGGTGCTTGCAGAATTTTTCTCTTACTCTTATCACTTGACCTGGAGTGGGTTGTTCTGTTTTAGAGGTATAGAGGTTCTTATAAAAGGATTCTGCTATTGCTAGCATCTTCTTCGGGTTTGAAGTAAGGCCATGCTCACCTCTAAGTTGGTGAATGGCAGAGTTTCTTCCTCTTGTTTTGATTTTTCGGAAGAAAAACTTTGTCATTCTCTCCCCCTCTTCCCACTCTCTAACCCTTGCCCTTAGCCTCATTCCTTTTGCTTTCCATGAATTCCAGTTCCCCAATTCGACTCCTGCTTTGGCTAGTGAGTCCTCGTATGAAGTGAGTCATGGGTTACTAATGAGGTTTCTTTCTGCCACTCGGACTGCTGCTTCTAATTCTTGGATGCGCCGGTTCCTTTTGTCGGCCAATTTCCTAGAGGCTAAGGATGCCGCTTTAGATAGGTTGGCTACTATGGAGGGGAAATCTAATCCTCTTTTCTCCGAGTCTATGCACGCTATGGCTATTGCTTCTTTTATTTGTTGGGTTTTTAGAATGGAGTTGTTAATCTTGAAAAAGGATGGACCTTTTTGCATACTGGGGTCAAAAGGAAATTAATGAAGGTTTGGCTGTGATCTAGACCGTTATTGTAAGGCATTTTGCCTATTCCTACTTTGTGGATTGCTCCTCTGAGGGATTCGGAAACTAAAAAATAGTCTATTGCTGAGCTTGTTGTGTATTGTGATATTCCTATTCCTAGAGGTAAATCTTAACGCTTTTGGGTGGAATGTCCTGAGGGGTTCTATTAGCTGTCTTTCCAGCGTGAGAGCGTTCACTTAATGAGTTTCGCTTATTGGGGCTTCTTCCCTGTCTGATAGTTGTGCTGAGATCCGGTCTTTGGCTGTATCAAGTACCGTGTTCCAGTCTCCTACTAGTATGAGGTGCTTCTGTGTGTTGCATTTGTCTGAGATTAGTTGTATGAAGTCTCTTCTCTGTATTGAGTCATTGGGAGCGTAGACATTTATTAGTTGAAAGCTTTCTTCCTTGTATGTGTAATGAATCTCGATCCATCTTCCGTTTTCTGTGTCTGTTCTGCTCTCCGTGTTGTTGATTTGGTTGGCTGCTCTTGAGTTTCCGTTCCAGAGGACGGTTGTACCTGCTGAGCCGATCCTTGGGGACGACGCCCATTGACTTGCTTTTACGTACTTCAATCTTGTCTGTATTTTGTTGATCATTGCCTGATGTTCTACTGAGTTGGATAGGTGAGTTTCTTGTAGGCATATGATGTCCAGTGGGCTTCTTGAGAACCACTTGAGGTAGTTGGTTATGTTGTCCCATTTTTGTTAATTAGTTAAGACTGTTGCTAAGCCGTTGACATTCCATGACATCATTGTCAACTCAGGCTCACTCGGCTTAAGGGTGAAGTGTCTCCATTGGCCTGGTTGTGTGGTTGGGTGATGTCATGGAGGGATGGCTATGACTTCAGCCTTATCTCTCTCTGTGGTGGTAAATTAGTTGGGGGATCCGAAGGGCTCTGCGCGGTGGATTTTAACTACTCGGGCCCCCACCTGAAGTGTGTGAGCCAGGTGCTCTTGCTTGTCTGCAAAGAGTCCATGACCTTCCGCCAGTGAGGCTGCAACCGCTGCTCTTTCTGCTGGGATATCTCCGCCTAGGAGGCCGTAGGGAATTGCTTGTATTACCTTCCACGGTTTCCATGTGAGATGTTCTTTGATCTTTGCATCCATTGAGTACTGAACCATGTATGGTCTGAAATCACTGATCATCATATCTCCTGTTGAGCCGATCCACTCCTCTGTCCAATCCTTCCATGACCCTAGAATGTGGGCGCTCATGGGGGCATCCCCTGATAAGTTGTTTGTCAGGGCACTTTTGCTCGGTTTGACCACTGCAATGAGGGCCCATGATTTGTTGACTGCTACTTCCCAATCCCCATGATCTGTGTTCCATCTGTAGGGGATTATCGCCCTTTTCCTGCAGCCACTTTTGGCTTCGAGCTTGGCAGCTGTGAATTTTTCTGCGTTTTGTCCCCCTGCCAATTTTTGCAGATTGATTGCCATGTCGGATGTTTCCCTGTTCTGGTCTCCTAGCACCGTGATTTGTGCTTTGAGGATCTCCTTCTGTCTGTCAAGGTCTTCCTTATCCTCCAGTGGCTTGTTCTCTCCATCCTCTGCGTCCCCTGAGTCTTGGGAACTCGTAGTTGGGATCGATTCTGCATTCCCTCTTCCTCCTTTGCGCCTTTTGCTCGATTTTTGGGAGTCTGTATTGTTGTAAGATTTGGGCCAGTTCCAGCTGTTCGGTGTGTGAGACCCTTGATTGGTCGCCTCCGCCAGTTTGGCGCCGTAGCATTCAGCAAAAAAATCTGACAGTTCCTGTTCCTTTTTTAGGATTTCATATTGGTTGTCTGTGGGGAACAGAGTGCTCAATGCTTGCTGTGTTGGGTTGAAGTTCTGCAGATTGAATATGTGTTTTTTGTGCGCGATCCTGATTTCAAATTCAATTTCTCTTTCTCTTTCCAGCCCCTTGACATATTTTGCAAGCCAGTTGAGCGAGTCCTCCTCATCTTCTTCGCCTGTTACATCTGTTGCGTCTTGGTCCGTACCCATGTGTGAGTCTCCCTCCTCTGAGTCTTGCGACATGTTGTCATCTGTTTTCTCTTCGTCCTCTTCCTCTTTTCCTTCTCCCTTTCGTTGTTCTCTACTTCCTTCTGGTATGTCTGTGTCATCTCCTTCCCTCATCATTTCTTCGCCTTCTTTGCTGCCTCCTTCCTTAGTCCCTCGCTGTTTTTTCCCGTTGTTGGCTGCGTCCTTCACTGTCCCCTCCACGTTGTCTCCCTGACCTTCGTCCGTATCAGCTTCCATCTCTTCCGTTGCTGTGTCAGGGCCTCTAAGCTTGCTGCATTTGTCTTGTGATGTGCTGAGTGCCGGAGAGTTTGGGGAGGGTTGATTCACTTTTCTTTTGAGCTTCTTGTTTGATCCATTGGTTGTGTTTTCCTTTTGTGGTTTCTGGGAGTCCTTGGTGCCTTGCGAGGTGTTCTGAGTTTTGGCAGATTGAAGGATCTTTCCTCTTGCCTGTAAGTTCTCAAAGAAAGCTTTTTCTGCTGACCTGCCTGTTTCGATCAGTTCTTGCAGGGTGCCTTTCCTGTGTTTGTCTTCCATAATCCCCTGCGTGTCCAGAATTGGCTTTTTCAGGAAGCCGCCTTCTTTGTCCTCAATCTTCCTCGCCCCCTTTGTTTGCCATTGGCTGCCGTGTGGAGGGTACACGTCGGGTTGAACCGATGGTTCACTCTGTAGTGTCCACACCCATTTTTGGGTCTTTCAACCTGTCATCGAAGACCCAACCTCTGTAGGTGGGGTCGTCAACAAACCACAGACCTGTCATTGCTTCACACTCAACCAGGTTTCCCTGCTCTGTCCTTGTTGAGTGGGCAATTTCTGTCTGTGCCTAGATGTCCTTTCCCTCTGCACTTGAAACAGCGTGGGTTGGATTTGGTGGAGAGGAACACTGTCAATTTCTGGCCATTCAATTTTTGTAACAGCCAGGTGTTGCCTGAGGGAACTTCGAGACATGCAATCCTGGAGTCATGGTTGGGAGCCAAGAATTCAGGACCTGAAACCAACCATTCGATAACAGGATTGTTTGGGTAGGCCTGTGCCAATCTGTGTTCCACAAGGCTGTGCAGTTCTTCTGCGATGTTATCAAACTGGATCCAAAAATGAATCCGCAGCACGGTTTGCCTGTGTCTTGAGGCATCCGGCTGCGGTGCTCGTCTGGGTTTCCAGTTTGTAACAGAGGCTGTTTAGGGCTATCAGATAGCATGCATAAGCTCTATCTGGAGTAACTATCATGACTGTGTTGCGCGCTCGTTTGTGGTAAGTGACGCCAGGTTCAGTGCCCGGGATTTCTTCTAGGGACCAGAGAATGTCTCGAACCCAAGTTCTTTTTTCATTTGGGGACATGTCCGCGCATTTCTGCGGGAAGTTAAACAGAACTGCGTGTTTGTTAAAAACTTCTTCGCAGTTAGATTCATCCTCTTCCGGATATTCCCAAATCTCCACTTGCTCTTCTCCTTCTCCCTCATCTGATGGGATAGTCTGCTTGATGATGTTTACCTTGGATTTGATCCGCGTGCTTGATATGACGAATTCCATTGCTTTTTGGCCTAGTGGTTTGGAGGCCGAGTCCGCTGTTGAAGATTGCGGACCTTTCTGTGGGCTATCCAGTGGGTGTGTTTGTGTTCCGGTAACTGGGTTTGCTTGTCCGTGCGGTTGTCCTCCTGGGATGGGCTCATTCCTCGGGTCCTCGGGACTTGCTGGTTTCTGGGGCGAGGGTCCTTTCCCCAGTGCTTCTGTGTAAGAGATTGTCATGTTGCGTGTGTGGTCAGATTGCGTTGTCTTGGCACTTATGTCGATCGTTAGTCACATACCTTGTTTGGAGAGAAACAACGTGTGCCTTGTCTGATTCGGGATCAGCCGTGAGAATAACCCCAAGGGTTGGCCAGCGTATACACGCCCCTCTTGACCACACCACATACCACCCACGATCATGTTCGCAGATGATTTGACCGTACTCATAAAAGCATCCAACTCCTCATTTGAGGCCCTTACTAGAGCCATGCATGCATATCAACTAGCTTCTGAAATGCGAATAAATTGGCAAAAAACGATGGGATGGTGGCTAACAGACGGCAGCATTGACCTTCCTGAAAACACTCCAGAAGGTATGACATGGTCCGACGTGAAAAACCCGTTAAGAGTCCTAGGAATCCAAATGACAGAACACGGAGCAGAGACAGAAATGTCCCCTAGCCTCCTAGCCAAGATGACCAACAAATTAAGTGACTGGGGCAAAATTCACCTCTCACTATATGGTAGAGCCCTAATACTAAACTCATCCATTTTCGCAATGATGTGGTACGTGGCAGCCTTCTGGGCACCAGATCATGGGACGTTGAGAAACCAAAGTCGCTTGGCAACAGGAGATGCCACAACATATTTGTGGACAGGAGATGCCAACAGACAGCACTTCATAACCAAAGTCGCTTGGCAGTATGTCACGAGGAAAAAGGAGCAAGGCGGACTGGGTGTCCTAGACCCCACAACCCAAATAAAAGCCCTACAAACAAAATGGATCCTAAAGCTCATCACTAGACCTACCCTACCYTGGAGAACGTTAGCTCTAGATGGGATACAACAACTACCAATATATAACACCCCGGCTAACATGGAGGGTACCTTCTGGTTAATGAGCAAATCATGGTCAATGAAAGGGAGAAACCACAACACGATGCACTCAAGAAACCAGTCCCGTTTGTGTTTCTGGAGAGGGATCCTCCGCGACTGGAGAGAGATATTCCCAGCTAAAGTCAGGAAACCGAGCAACAAGGAAGAAATACTAAGACAACCCCTATTCTGTAACCAGTGGATAACCAAAGAAGATGGAGGCCCATTCACGCTGACTTTTAAGGACACAAAATGGGGAGTTTGGCTAGAAAAAGGAATCTGGCAGATCAAACACATATGGGACGACAACACCAGAGACTGGAAGCGAAGTAACCAACTCAGACAACAGCTTAAAGGCTGCCATAGACTAAATCAGAATTTACAGGAAATCATAGCAGCCATACCACAGGACTGGATAGGGACACTWAAAAAAAACAGACAGTGGTCTACAGGAGACTGGGGAATCTTACTGAATGAACCCCAAMAGAAAYAYGCACTAGCATACTGGGGTAGAGAAGAGGGCAATCCAAACTGGCACACATTTACKATGCATGAAATASAAGAACCAGGTTCAGACTGCAGTAAGATCCTCAAAAACTCAACAGCACAAGTTGCAGTAAGGGAAGACAACTTAAGGAAGATAAGAGTTATAGAAAATGAAGATTTAACCCTCTATTGCCCCCAAWTWCCACTAGAGAACCTTGAAGTGGACCCAGCAGAATGGGCATGGAACATAAAGCAAGGAGCCTCAAGAATCAACACCAAATTCAATCTATTACATTACACAACTAGACTAGGCTACAGGCTGAGACGCCGTTCGGTGAACCCGGACCCAATAATAACAGAAAGATGGAAAAGACACTTAGATGTAGAACCAAAAACACTTGACCCAATACCATGGAACAAAATAGCAGCTATTAACCCACCCAAATTTAGGAGCCAAAAACACGACCCAATACCATGGAACAAAATAGCAGCTATTAACCCACCCAAATTTAGGAGCCTTCAATGGCTAATCTTGTACCTAGCTGTCCCACTGAACCAATGGCTAAATACACGAAGGAAAAAAGATGACAGGAGTCCTCTCAAAGAAATATGTGCAAACTGTAGTGAGAATCAAATAGAAAACCTATATCACTGTTTCTTGCACTGTTCCAGGATAAAACCACTATGGCAAAAGGTAGCAAGTCTATGGAATGCAGTAACAGGCACCACCCTCACAAACAACAGCACACTCCTACTCTTAGGTTTCAATAACCCAGATAACTGGAAGCCTTCAGAAGTCAATCTCTTCAGAATTCTCAGAAAAGCTACGCTATGGAGTATATGGCGAAAAACATGCCAAGAAACAATAGAAGGACAAAAAATGCACACTCAAGAAGCGTGGGGACTACAACAACAGGTAGAAACCGAGTACTGGACCCTATGGCGCAAGGTACAAAGAAGAATGAAAGAAGACGAAGGCAAAGCAAAGGATTACCAACACAAATTTGAAGAAAATCACCTAGCAAAAGGCAAAGTTGCACTGATACACGGCTCAAGTATAGTCTTTCGTCTATGGGATGAACCCCCACCAAGACACCACTCGCAAGACTCTTCAGTTAACAGCATACCCGAGTCCCTCGAAATTAACATTTCCACAAACTAAACCGACGTCTAGCCAGCAACAGAAACCCACCTTCTAACCAACACCGAAAGATACGACAGCACAACACTCCAGGTTAGACAGGGTCACATATATAAGACGGATATATTAAGCTCAGGAAAAGCTCAGACCTGGGACAAGAAAAAAGTATAGGGGAGCAAGATAGCGACCAAGACAGCAAACATCACATTATGGGGGGGAGAGAAATAGAGAGGCCATACAATTTTCACTCAAGGGTATTTCATAAGACATCCAAGGACAGAGGTGGACACGACACAAGCAAGGGCCCAAGTAACAGCTCCAGCAAAAGGTCAGTCTAACGGCCTGCAGTGACTGCTCGTAAATGCTGCCCTCCCGGTAATTCAAGGCTTACACACCAGACGGAAAGCCACAGATCCTGACAGCTAGGAGTTACGCACAGTTTGCTCCAAAGACGCGGTAGAAGATGTAGTGCACCCTTTGATGCAGGGTAAAAAAAGGGTGACGCTATGGATCATATGGAAGGAAAGATGCAGCAGGACGATTGAAAGAGTGGCCAATTCACGTGAGAAGGTTTGGGCCGAGGCAAAAACGATGATACAAGCCGAAATCCGCTGCAAATGCTGGAGGATCACACAGTCATGGACAGAGGATGAGAACCAACAATAGAAGGCGAGACTGAGCTTCAACAGAACGAGGCTGGTAAATGGCAAAGCGGCGGACCTGAGAGAAGACCGCATCTGTTGGAAAGACTGGCACGACTCAAATCCAGGAAGGGGCTACCAGTAACAAACAACGGTGGGCGGGTAAAACACATGCTGACCAAACTACCACAAGGGAGACCAATGGCTGCAGCAACGGAGAGACAGTTCAGAGAGGAACGAAAGCGGTTCACGAAATACTGAAGGAAGTTGGACACAGGCACCGTGAGTTGAAAGGCTAAGTTGCATAAGGGGACTTTAAGAAATGCTAGAAAGGAGCTGGAGTGTGTGTTTCTGGAGAATAAAAATTATACTTGAGGGTTTAGGGTTTAAGGTTTGGACAGAATTAGGGCTAACAGAATTCAGAATAGCAGAGTTTTAAGGTGGTTCACACGTGAGAATTACAGTTTAGACAAAAAAAGGAAGCCCTAGTTAGTACTTCTACCTCTTAAATCAAAGTGGTTGTGGATCTACGGTTTTAGGGGTGTAGTAACATGAGATATTGGTGCAATACAGAGAGGGTTTAGGGTTTAGATGTTGTAGTCATCTAGGGTTTAGGGTCTCAACATGGAACAGGAAAGGCCAAGTTAGCAGTTCTAATACTTAAAGCCAAGCCGACAGCCAAGCAGCTGAGAGGAACAAGCTAACCAATGCAAACGGGATACAGTTAACAAGCAAGAACGAAGGAGATTAGACTGAGCCTAAATTAGGTCCATCAGGCTAACTAAGGCAGGGGTGAGGGGTGGTACATCCGTCCTTCAGGAAGTAATCAATGCCGTCCTTCGCGCCTCCACACCATAAGGGGGAGGAGCGTGTGTGTGTTCTCATTGTAATTCTGCCTGACTTGCCGGTGGAAAAGGAACCGGACTGATGCTCCCCAGAATGGAAAAGGAGCCGGAACCGTAAGGTTCTGTTTTGGAAAAAAAAAGAAAAAAAAAAAAGAAAAAAAAGAGAGTGATTATCAACAAGCGGAGGTAAAAGGAGTGTCACCCATGCACGCTGATCAAGCACTCGCAAAAGTAGCTTGTTCAGAACCCTTGCAGGTCCTCCCTGTTCGCTTGTGATAGAGGAACAAGTTCCTCGTATTGAACTGGCAAACAGTTCCCAGAATTGAGAGCCATAACTGGACAGTATGCGCTCACCACGCGTGCGCGAGTATGCGCAAATGTTGGAGTTTTCCTGCTCACTCTCACCGCACTCGCCGTTCCTCCATTCCCCGCACTCATCCTCATCCGTGCTCTTCCCCTTCAATCACTACCTCCTCCTTCTCATCAGGGCGCACAAGAGTTCCCATTATCAATCCACCCTTTGCAAGGTACTAAGACCTCACACACTTATGAAAGCAGAAGGTGATGACTATCATCTCTCCGAGGCCGCGGGAGGAAAGTCAGTCCACCGTTCTAAAGGTCGTAGTTGTCTCACGAGAGTGGCCTAGTTCGATTGACCCATATTCATATACATGGTCTCTTCCTCACACCCTCCCGATAACTCGTGCGGCAGTCACCAATACTAGTTTACAAATGCCTTGGTAGTCCAGCTATGGATACCACTGGAATTTCACAAGCGCACCAGTATGCGCCACCAAATGGGGGCAGGGTAATCCACTGAACAGAGACAGATGACAAATCGCCTCTCTTACATGCAGGGAGAAGTTAGTGAGAAGGCACGCGAGGCAAGGAATGTATGAAGGTGCACGAAAACGCTCCCGTGTGCTTTCTTGAATCGAGTTGACAACTCTTTGCTCCGTCCACACGATGGCGTTGATTGATTTCGCGCCAGTCTTCGTGGAGATTCCCTACAGAGCGAGGGAACCACCAAAGATGACAAGCTACCACATACCCGCCATGCATGTTAGTCCACGAGCACCCCCCAACCAACAGAGACAGATGGCAAATCGCCTCTCTTACATGCAGGGAGAAGTTAGTGAGAAGACACGCGAGGCAAGGAATGTATGAAGGTGCACGAAAACGCTCCCGTGTGCTTTCTTGAATCGAGTTGACAACTCTTTTCTCCGTCCACACGATGGCGTTGATTGATTTCGTGCCAGTCTTCGTGGAGATTCCCTGCGGAGCGAGGGAACCACCAGAGATGACAAGCTACCGCATACCCTCCACACATGTTGGTCCACGAGCACCCCCCAACCAACCAGCTTCCCTTGAACAACGCCCCTTGAGCATCACGCTGTTGAGATGGGTCGACCTTCTCTCGTCACTCACTCAGTGAACCCGTCCGTCCCTGTCTTGGCTGCGTGCTTGATTCTGTTCGCCCTCCGCTCGAATATTCAACTACCTGCTCCTGAGCCTTCTGTACCCCGGTTTCACTACGCCCGTCCGCCTCATTTCCTCCAGATCTCCCCCTCTTCCTTTCTCCCTTCCGGTGCCCCTTGCAGACCAGTCCTCCTTTCTTCTCCCTTCCGGTGCCCCTTGCAGACCAGTCCTCCTTTCCCTGCCAAAACCGAGTCTCATACCCTTTCAACTCTCCCAAAGTCCGGGCCTGAGCATCCTGAGACCAAGGACTAAAGGAGAAGACCAGAGTTAGTCTGGAGGGCATTCTTTTGAATGCACCACGGTAGGGTAAACCTTGTGTGAAGGACTGGTGAAACTGAATTCTATGAAATCTGCAGCTGCTCCGAAAAGTCGATTAGACCACCAGTTCACGGACCCCTACTATTCACCAAGACGCAGAACACTGCGCCCGTACCACGATGAACGGTGATCCGGCATATGGCGCAGGTTCGGAGGGAAAAGGCTGGTGGGCCCAAAAAAAATCGATTGAAAGCCAAATCGTAAAAAAAAAAAAAGGAAAAATAAATGAGAAACTGGGCTTGACTGCACTACTTACTCAGACATCCTGGCTTGCTGACAGGGCTAATCTTAGAATGAAAAAAATAAATAAAAAAAGACTCATTTGGACGTAATATCCATCCGATACATTCTGGAAAGTAGTAGTGTGGGTATGCGAATAGGAGGACAGAAGCAAAAGGAAAAAAAGGGAAAAGGAATGAAACATATGAACCTGATAGCGGTCAGATACATTCTGGAAAGTAGTAGTGTGAGTATGCCCTTAGCAAGGACCTTTCCTGAGAACCCAAACAACATCTGCCTTGCTGGCAGGGCACTAAAAGAAAGAAGAAGGAAAAAAAAAAAGACAATGATTTGGGCAGATACATTCTGGACAGCACTATTGTGAGTATGCCCTAGGTTCTGCATCTCTTTTCTGTTTATTTCATGAAATGGCAACGACCTCTGTTCATCATCGATCTGGATTTAGGTTGGTTGGTTTTTTTTTTTTTTTTTTTTTTTTTTTTTTTTTTTTTTTTTTTTTTTTTTTTTTTTTTTTTTTTTTTTTTTTTTTTGCTTTGCTTTTCGAAGTTTTCGTGCCATTTGCTGGCACGAGGTACAACACTCCAGTTTCAAGGTAGACTGGTACCAGTACCCCGATATTTTTCTAGAGTTAGTGCACAGATGACCCAACTCTACAAATGGTACAGTGTAGAGTACTGCATCGAGGCCCAGTATTCCACCAGGTGCATTCGGGTACGGTGCCTCAGTAGGCCAGAAAGACAATTTGTGCACTGGCTTGCTCTGTCTGGCTGTCTGGCTGTGTCTGCGCCTCTCTGGCTTTGCCTGGCGCGTCCAACTTTGTTTAGCCCTTTGCGACTAGGTGAGGCCTGTGGGCCTCTCTGTGACCCTGAGCGTCTCTGTGTGGACGTGTTGCACTCTGTGCGGCTCTGACTCTGCCCGGGTCTGCCTGACATTGTCTGGCACTATCTGGCTCGATGTGGCTCTTTGTGGCAGTCTGGCTCTGCCTGGCTCAGTGGGGCACCGTCTGGCTCAGTCTAGCTCAGTTTGGCTCAGTCTGGCTCAATTTGGCTCCGTTGGGCACTGCCCAGCTCTGCCTGGCTCTGTCTGTCTCCCTTTGTCTGGCCCTGTCTGGCTCAGTTGGATACTGTCTGGCTCAGTCCTGCTCAGTCTGGCTAGTTCTGGCTCTGTATCGCTATGTCTGGCTCTGTCCGGCTGCACCTCTGGCTCTGACTGGCTCCGTCTGGTTGTGTGTGGCTGTCCGAGGTCTGACTGTGTCATCCTCTGTACGCCTTGCCTGATGTTGTTGGAACTGTGTAGTATGGCTCTGCCTGGCTCAGTGGGGCGCCGTCTGGCTCAGTCTAGCTCAGTTTGGCTCAGTCTGGCTCAATTTGGCTCCGTTGGGCACTGCCCTGCTCTGCCTGGCTCTGTCTGTCTCCCTTTGTCTGGCTCTGTCTGGCTCAGTTGGATACTGTCTGGCTCAGTCCTGCTCAGTCTGGCTAGTTCTGGCTTGGTATCGCTCTCTCTGGCTCTGTCCGGCTGCACCTCTGGCTCTGACTGGCTCTGTCTGATTGTGTGTGGCTGTCCGAGGTCTGACTGTGTCATCCTCTGTACGCCTTGCCTGACGCTGTTGGAACTGTGTTGTATGTGGAGTGGCACAGCAACTGCACATGGCCCGGCCAATGTCCCATAGCACTGGCGACATTTCAAATGCAACAGGTGCAGCAGCAGCAGCCTCAACAATGTTGCAAACTGGATGACATAAAAAACACTTTGAAGACATTGAAGGGGTATCAACAACACAGTCCAGTCTGACAGCATACCTCAGTCCAACCCTCTGGGGGACTCAGAAATTTCACCACGACCTCATTTCATAATGGCCTCATTTGACCTCCAATGACCTCACAATGATCTCATTTAACCCCGATTACATCACAATGACCTCATTTGACGTCTGTAACTCAGCCAAACCCCGTTGAGTCCGTCAACAGTGGCAATGACCAGGGTGTTTGGTCCTCAAGGTGCATTCTGAGAATTTCCGACGAGGGTGCTGAGGTCATTGCATAACTTTCCCATCTGTTTTTTTGTAGGGGATAGGCCCCGGTTATGACACTCGTTAAAACAAAGAAGTAAAAGCGAAATGCTGTGCCACAACCAGGATCCCCCAAAATAGTAACCCGGATCGCTGAATGGTTATGACTGCGAACATAACAACAATGCCAGATCAAGACAACTGACGAGCAACATTTGAACAAATGTAAAGAAAAGCAACGAAATAGAGAAAAAGGCCAGCAGCATACACATACAAGGGAAAAAAAAAAAAAAGGAAAAAAAGATAGCACTAAGCACATATAGAAAATAGACCATGATTGAAAAAAAAAACAAAAAAAAAAACCATGGTGTGATAACGAACATAGATTACTGACCAGTGACCGCACTTCGCTGAGGCAAAGCAAAACGTCGAATCCCCTACGGCAACTTAGCTGAAGGAAAATGTGTGAAGGGGTATAGGTACTAGACAAAGTCACGCACGGCGCTGGAGTCAGAGAGCCTGCGATGGCCGACACCTGTCATCTGTGGCTCACTGAAATCATTTCAAACAGTCGTCAGTGCATCCTTTACTATCTCTTTTGAACAACCGCCCACCCCTCCTTAGCCTCTTCGGTCAAACTGATGCCTTCCACCGCAGCAGGTCCGCTTGGCGGCCAGCTTTGCTTTTTACCAAAAGTATATGTGGCCTCTTGTACACAGCCACAATCTCCATAGGCCATAGGAAGCAGTGAGAGCATAAGGTACTTACTTTTCCTGCGACAGTTTTTCTATGCTAGCCTGTGCCCTTCTTCGTAAATGCAAACCCATTCCAACTTTCACTTGTAGGACTGGTCACAGTTGCCTGACTTTGCCCCTGTGCGCCTGCCGCTGATGACTGGCGGCTAGCCCACCCGCCGCCATTTGCTCTGAGCGTGTTGCTACCTGCAGAAAACACACCATTGCTGAACCTCTTCTCGCCACCTGCTGCGGAGGCGGTCACACCCTCACTCTGACGATTTCCGGGCGCTGAAAACGCTGGAACTGGTGGCGGAGGGGGGAAAGCCTTAGCCCCCCGATTGTCCGACCCGCTCAAGTTGCTCCCGCTCCGCCGTGCCGGCTCTACCCCGGAGGAAGAGTCGGTACGCATGCGCTTCCCTACCGATGCTGAGCTGTTCGCATAGCTATCATCGAAGTCAAATTCAAAGTCGTCAGCTTCCGATCCGACGTCAAAACTCGCTGCACCATTTACACCAGAAGACAGAATGTGTGGACCCGCCTTCGCCCCATTGCTCACGGGTACCGAAGTGTTACGACTTCGAGGAGTGCTCACAGTTCTGGGAGTACTCATAGGTCTGGGAGTGCTTATGGGCCTTTGACCGTCATCCGGCAAGCTAGTCCTTGGCCTCTTACCAGGGGAAACAAATTCGCTTTCTCGGCTCTCCGATTCCTCACTGGAAATCCTCCGCACCACTTGTAAAATGCGCTCACCATATTTGTTGCACTTTACTCTGTTCATTGTAGACAAACCCACCAATGCAATCTCTTGTCAGGAAAACCCATTACCTTTTCCTTTTTCTTCCCTTTTGTGGCATGCCAACACCTCAGTCTTTTCAGACCTACGCTGGGACGATTCCTCACAAACTACCAAGCCAGCAACATTTGGAGAAACAGAAGAGATGTACGCAAGACATGCTGAAGTGACTACTGTCTTCCCCCTAATCGAATGTTCTATCCGGTCATTATAGCTGTACTTGGAGCAACTCTTCGTCTAGATACAGTAATAATGACCGGGCGTCTAGGCTACCAGAGTGGCCCGGGGTCACTTGCCCGGCCGGGCCAAAAACAATTAAAAATATATATATATATATATCATCACAAACAGAACTGCCCGGTAAGCCGTAGGCAGAGAGAGAGAAGAGGACAACAAACGAGGGGCTGTGACAAACTGTTTCGTCGGAGTTTCACCGACTCATCATATATCGTATATATATATACAGGGTAACTGGCGTTCGGGACGGGCCGAACGCCCGAACGTATGGGACCCCTTGGGGATGCGTTCGGCCGTTCGGGCCGAACGCGGACCCAAAAA